TGCATATATGCTGTATATATGTTTATGGCGTACTATTATTAGTGGTCCGGTTATTACGAACTACAATTAGTGGTCCATTTGAGTTTGTAGTTTTACTGTCTGTTAATTTCTTATTCCGGGTTGAAGCAGCAATATGTGAGGTGTTGTCCTGTTTATAGACTGACAGTCTTTACCATCGGCATATTGCATAATATCGATGGAGTAGCCTAGTGGTTAAAGCGTTCGATCTTCGAACCAAAGACCCGGGTTCGACTCCTCACGTGGATACAACGTATGCCACTCGTCCATATACCCAGAAGTGAGTGAACGATCATTTATATCATAACCTGTCAGTTCAGTGTCGGAGTAAATCACTAGATGACGCAGGAAGTAGATGTGTAGACCCTTTGGTGTAACATAGGAAAAAGAGTGAGTGAGTATGGTTTTACGCCGCTTTTAGCAATATTCCAGCAATATCACGGCGGGGGACACCAGAAATGGGCTTCACACATTGTACCCATGTCGGGAATCGAATCCGGGTCTTCGGCGTGACGAGTGAACGCTTTAACCACCAGGCTGCCTGACCGCCCCCATAGGAAAAAGAATACGGCGACACAGTCGCGTGATCGGTAGCCCAAGGCAAGGTTACGAGGCGCTGTGCGGTTACAATAGTAGTGATGTGTCAAGGGTAACACGGGAAGTGTGGATACAGGGCACGCACAGAGAGGTGAGGTGAAATGGGGTTTAACGTCGCCTCCAAGATTATTGCGCTTATATCGCGACGAGCGTGTACGTGTGTGTGGCTGTTTGTAGTCCGGACTAATGCCGATTTTATAATGCTAGCCCACCGAGATCCGATGCGGCAGTGTAACATGACTACCCTACTCGAACACAAAAAGTGATTCCGAGCCGACCAGTCCTTGTTTTATCCACATAATGCCTAGCGCCAGGCAGGGTAACAACAAGTACCATCTTTTAAGGTCTTTTGGTGTGACGCGAACGGGGATCGAACCAAAGACCTTCCGCTCTCCTGGCGGACGCTCCACCATTAGACCACGAAAGCGGTCTTCCACAATCTTTGTTGGATGACCACAGCGGTCTCCGTGTGGGTTTAACACAGGTTTAGTGAGTGAGTTATTGAGTTGGGTTTAACGCCGTTTTTAACATTATTCCAGTTATATCACGGCGTGTCAGCTTAATGTGGGAGGAAAGCTCGAAGTGAAGCAGGTCTCAGACGTTTACCACTTCGGTGAAACCCACGAGCACGGGTATGGTGCTGACAAACCTAGAAACATAATTGGGGCGAACCGGGATTCGAACCCACAATCATAGGTTTCTGGCGTGCCCAAGGGACGCAACTCTGCACAGCGAATCGCGGCGCCTTAGACGACTGGGCCACCCGTGCCCCCTAACACAGGTTTACGTCAGACGTAGCGACATAATAGTTTTGTAGAACCAGAACACATAATATATTTAATAATTGTGACCAACCATGATAAGGGATCTTATGGGTGAAAAATCACATTTTGACTTTTCATTATATTTTTAAACTACCCGAACTTCGGAACACAAAAATACAATTCACAAGCTTCAATTCATATTTAATACAGAGATACATGACGTCACACATGGCGTTTATCGATTAAGTAGGTTGGCGTCAAACGTCTTTATGACGTCACAGCGTAATTGTATCCAAGCACAAGGTCTGTTTTCTTCTGGTGGGTCACAATTTCTTTGTTGGTCTCCGGTGGAATGGGGGCGAGGTTGGCCGACATGTTACGTCGCGCCATGCCAGGCTTCATATGACGTAATTGCATTGCTTCCTGACCGACACTTGGATGTTGCAAACTTCACAGATACGTATGTTATAGGTAAGACATTTCAGAAATACGTATGTAAGAGGTAAGGCATTTCACAGATACCTGTGTTAGAGGTAAGACATTTCCCAGATACGTATGCTAGTGGTAAGACATGCCACAAATACGTATGTTAGAAGTAAGACATTTCAGAGATACGCATGTTAGAAGTAAGACATTTCCCAGACACGTATGTAAGAGGTACGACATTTCCCAGATACGTATCTTAGAGGTAAGACATTTCCCAGATACCCGTGTTAGAGGTAAGACATTTCCCAGATACGTATGTTAGAGGTACGACACTTCACATATACCTGTGTTAGAGGTAAGACATTTCCCAGATACCTGTGTTAGAGGTAAGGCATTTCCCAGATACGTATATGAGAGGTACGACATTTCCCAGATACCTGTGTTAGAGGTAAGACATTTCCCAGATACGTATGCTAGTGGTAAGACACTTCACGGATACCTGTGTTAGAGGTAAGACAAGTCACAAATACGTATGTTAGAGGTACGACATTTCAGATAGTGAGACATTTCACAGATAGGTATGTTAGAGCTACGGCATTTCCCAGATACGCATATTAGAGGTACGACAATTCACAGATACGTATGTTAGAGGTACGACATTTCACAGATACGCATATTAGAGGTACGACATTTTCAGATACGTATGTTAGAGGTTCGACATTTCACAGATACGCATATTACAGGTACGACATTTCACAGATACGCATATTAGAGGTACGACATTTCACAGATACGCATATTAGAGGTACGACATTTCACAGATACGTATGTTAGAGGTACGACATTTCACAGATACACATATTAGAGGTACGACATTTCACAGATACGTATGTAAGTGGTACGACATTTCACAGATACGCATATTAGAGGTACGACATTTCACAGATACGTATGTTAGAGGTACGACATTTCACAGATACGCATATTACAGGTACGGCATTTCACAGATACGCATATTAGAGGTTCGACATTTCACAGATACGTATGTTAGAGGTAAGACATTTCACAGATACGCATATTAGAGGTACGACATTTCACAGATACGTATGTTAGAGGTTCGACATTTCACAGATACGCATATTAGAGGTACGGCATTTCACAGATACGCATATTACAGGTACGACATTTCACAGATACGCATATTAGAGGTACGACATTTCACAGATACGTATGTTAGAGGTTCGACATTTCACAGATACCTATGTTAGAGGTTCGACATTTCACAGATACGCATATTACAGGTACGGCAGTTCACAGATACGCATATTACAGGTACGACATTTCACAGATACGTATGTTAGAGGTTCGACATTTCACAGATACGCATATTAGAGGTACGGCATTTCACAGATACGCATATTACAGGTACGACATTTCACAGATACGTATATTAGAGGTACGACATTTCACAGATACGTATGTTAGAGGTTCGACATTTCACAGATACCTATGTTAGAGGTTCGACATTTCACAGATACGCATATTACAGGTACGGCATTTCACAGATACGCATATTACAGGTACGACATTTCACAGATACGCATATTAGAGGTACGACATTTCACAGATACGTATGTTAGGGGTACGACATTACACTGATACGCATATTAGAGGTACGACATTTCACAGATACGTATGTTAGAGGTTCGACATTTCACAGATACGTATGTTAGAGGTTCGACATTTCACAGATACGCATATTACAGGTACGGCATTTCACAGATACGCATATTACAGGTACGACATTTCACAGATACGCATATTAGAGTAACGACATTTCACAGATACGTATGTTAGGGGTACGACATTACACTGATACGCATATTAGAGGTACGACATTTCACAGATACGTATGTTAGAGGTTCGACATTTCACAGATACGTATGTTAGGGGTACGACATTACACTGATACGCATATTAGAGGTACGACATTTCACAGATACGTATGTTAGAGGTTCGACATTTCACAGATACTCATATTACAGGTACGACATTTCACAGATACGCATGTTAGAGGTTCGACATTTCACAGATACCTGTGCCTGTCACAGAGAAGCATACTGTCTTACTGGCTGTCACAGAAACGGTCACACCGCTGTGAATAGCGACAAACAGGATGTAAGGGGAAATAAGACAGGACGATGAGGAGAGAGTGTATTGCCTTCTACACATGACACTTAATCGCTTATGCAGAATCTGAATAAAACTATGCTCATTAGAGGCAAATGTTGATGTTGAGGTTGAGATGTCGCAGTGTGGAGCCTTGGTTTGTATCTGTTTCGCAGACACCTGTGGGTGAGAAACCAATTTGAGATAACTGGTATCAAACATATGTGGGAGATCAAATTCCAGGTCCGTGATTGGCTACTTCATGGTGCGATTATGTTCCAAATTGAAATAATGAACCCATGGATTCGACTTGACTTCCACGGCAAAATTTATAAAAAAATACGGTAATTTACTATGTGAAATGACAGGGCAAAATGCTTAAAACATAAAGTTAACTATATTCAAGTAGAAGAGCAGGAGAAAAATATGGAGTAACATACCTCTACCGGACATTGCAATTGTGTGTTTCAAATTAATCATTTTCAAAGGGAATTTGCCTAGATTGTGCAGTCATTTATGTCCATGTGCAAGCATTGATGCCCATGTGTAGTCATTGATGCCCATGTGCAGTCATTGATGCCCGTGTGTAGTCATTGATGTCCATGTGTAGTCATTGATGTCCATGTGTAGTCATTGATATCCATGTGTAGTCATTGATGTCCATGTGTAGTCATTGATGTCCATGTGCAGTCATTGATGTCCATGTGTAGTCATTGATGTCCATGTGTAGTTATTGATGTCCATGTGCAGTCATTGATGTCCATGTGTAGTCATTGATGTCCATGTGCAGTCATTGATTCCCATGTGCAGTCATTGATGTGTGGTCGTTATTTATCTACAATAAAAACACTCGAGGCCGTGCCGATACAATAAACAACGACCACTCGTCGGTTATTTCTTAATTTTTTTGTTGGTAATGGAAATGACTTCTCGGAGACACGGCAGGTTAGCGTGAAGCGTCAAATATTTGTTACATTCAGTTATATTGGGCGTGTGAGAAAACCCGAAATACGTTCAACACTCTGGGGTATGGTGCAGCAGAAGAAGGGGCACAATCGGTCTCAAGTCCAATACAGCGGATCCTGACACATAAAGGGAAGACCACCAATACCATGGTACGCTTAATAAATGAAGACGAAGTATTCATGTTTCATAGACAATGATAAACATTTAATGGAAAAATAAATAACGAATGGATACAATAAATAAATAATTAAATAGGTAAGCTTATTCTTTGGTTGATACGACGGTACATTTTCAAGGTCATACCGGAATGCAAGTAACATGTATACATGAATAAATATTGATTTGACACAAGGATGAGCAACACATGATTTGTGTTCCATGGTATCAACATGGGGTTGTTTCAGTGTTTCGTATCGTGAAATTCCTCCAGCGAGTTCACATTTCGTCATTTGTGGTAGCATAATAATGACGATTCTTTACATGCTGCCGGGGAAAAGAAAGTATACTCCCACATTTGATGGTGGCTAAAAATGAAACACAAAAATTATTCGGTGATGTATTGAAACATAGTTGTGTTTTGGACCCAAACTTTGAAGCGGTTCGGCGACTGTTTTCAACTAAATAACGTTTTGATAACGTTCGTAACTTTTTAGTCACACGCAATATTTAAAGTTTACCTTTCTTTTCCCCCGGCAGTCTATGTACCCAGGTACAGCTATTATCAATGTTGGGCAAGTCGAATTCGGTTTCGTATTTCCGCATTCAATGCTTTTGCTTTTGTTTTTCTTCTCAGACTATTCAAAGCGAGGTACTTCCGGCGGGAGTCATACTGTCCACGCTGGCCTCGGTCTGGCCGCTTGTTTGATTTAGTTCTACGCGCATGCGCTTTAGTGTCACTCTCGGAAACACTCATGTCTTCCGTGTCACAATCAGTAAGCTCTAACTCGGTGTCCGTGTGCGTCCTGACGGAGTCCATCGACACTGTTTTGTCCGTCCTCTTTACACTGATCACCCTAGGCGAGCCAACACCTTCTCTGTCAGACGCGGCGTGACCCTCGACGTCGGTGAAATCCTCTACCGGTTCAAGGTCAGAGAAGCAGTTCCGGTCCTTCTCCAGCAGGATCCTTGGCGTGAAGAGTTTCTCTTCTTCCTTCTCCATGAAGTTCTTCCTAATCTTCGTCACCCTTTTGGCACTGATTGATTGAACTAACGTTGTAAAATCGCCGCCATGGCTTTTCTCAAACTCTGCAGATTTGGCCGTCGACCTTCCGCCATTGACCTTCGTCAGCGGCAGCGTGGAATAACCGTCATTCCTTGAAAACGGAGACCCATCTGAGGTCAGAGGTCTCACGTGGTCTCCTTCTGGCTGTTTCCCATCCTCGGTCTCCCCCTGAAAACCTTTGTTTATGACACCATTCTTGGTCTTACCTTTTCTAGGAGGCTTTTTAATTGGATTCGAAGCCGGACCCATAATATCTTTCAACATTTTGTCTATTCTCTTCTGTTGCTTAGCAACGGAAACGTTAGATTCGTTTTTTGGTTGCTCCGATATCACAGTTTCGTTGGGATTTCTATCAAACACATCTATGCTTAACTGAAGGTTATTTCTCTGCTCGGAGGTGAAGTTTCCCAACTTCAATGTCTGAATGGATGAACGCACAGATTCCTCATAAGGAGGTTCAATAATTGTCTCAATATCGTTCACATTGCTAAACTTACTCTTGGTGTAACTGATTTTAACCTCGTCCTCAACACCGGGGTGTTCTAATACATTATCACAATGCACTTCCGCTTTTATGTCCATTTTAGGATCACGTGACCCAGACGATGAATCCAATCTTGAACTTTCGTCTAATGTGTCAGTTGTCTCCCTCTGCACTTCCGGTTTTCCTTCTTCTGGTTTTGGGGTCGGAATAGTTCTCTTTTCTGCCATATTGTTTTTATTGTTTAGTCTGTAACTTGGCGTTTTCTTACTCGAAACCGGAATGAAATCACCTGATTTTTCGGAAGTTTTCTCAAGGGAGCTTTCCCTATTTGGATCTGATGACGTCATGCACGCTCTGTCCTTGTCCCTAAAGACACGGTCATGCGCAGTGGTATCTCTACATGACGTCACATTTTCGTCTTCGCCGCCGCGCTCTGTATCCTCCAGGTCTATGACGCCACAGTCGCCGTTGTTCTGTTTGGTGTCCTTACTGTCGGCGGCTGTCTGTGTCGACGTCGTGAACGTGACTGTGTTCTTCTTCTTTGTGACCCTGCGGCCTGATGGGGTAGGGACGCTCGCCAAAGCTTTCTCTGAAACACCATGGCAGCTTTTTATCGAAATGCTGTAAGATAATCACTAAAACTCACCACAGATATGTAATGAAAGATTAAATTATGGGCGAGTTCAATTCAATTTATTAACACATCTGCTGTGAAACATGTCTGAAGCAGTGTAGAGGATGGTGAGTGAGTGAGTATGATTTTACGCCTCCTTTAGCAATATTTCATAAATATCACAGCGGGGAACACCATACATGAGCTTCACACATTGTATCAATGTAGGGAATCGGACCCGGGTCTTCGGAGTGACGAGCGAAACACTTTTATCAAACAAGGCTGCGCCGCAACTCTAGAGGATGGATAGAACGAACGTGCATTCCCATATTAATGAAAGTGGCAAGATTGAAATAATCATTGCATTGGTGAGGTGAGGTGAGGTGAGGTGAGGTGAGGTGAGGTGAGGTGAGAAGTGGTTTAACATCGCGTTCAAGATTATTGCACTTATAAACTCACGTACATGTACGTGTGTGTGAAAGCGTGAATCTGTGCACGTGCGTGCGTGAGTGTCGACATTATTGTCAAAGAATCTTGATTCGCGAAGAACGAGAGTTCTCTCCCTTTGACCAGCAATCACTATTCTTAACCCACCGCTCGTTGCAACGTTCACAGATTATGCTTCAGCTCACAAGGTCATGTTTTTTTCCAAGCAAGGTCACTTACAGCCCAGTAAGTACTTATTTGTTTGGCGGGAAAATGAAATAGGTAAATAGAAATCCACAATAGTCTAATGCTGTGTCGCCCTGAATGATTAAGAATTGACGTCAATATTGTCAGAGTTTGATGTTTGTTTGTTTGTTGTTTAACGCCGCACTCAGCAATATTCCAGCTGTATGACGGTGGTCTGTAAATAGTCGAGTCTGGACCAGACAATCCAGTGATTGACATCATGAGCATCGATCCACGCAATTCGAATGCGAAGACATGCATCAACCAAGTCAGCGAGCCTGACCACCCGATCCCATCAGTCGCCTCTTACGAGAAGCATAGTCGCCTGTTACGGCAAGCATGGGTTGCTGAAGACCTATTCTACCCCGGATCTTCACGGGTCGTGTGACATGTTATGTAGCGGACAGTGTAGTGTACCATCCAATGTAATTCATGGTGCAAAGCACAGAGTGATTATATGGAGAGGATATTTCATGTGTCGATTGAAATATCATGTTCTCTCTTATCGAGATACAGGGCAAAGGAGATATTTCAACTTGTTGCGAAGTGAAAATATATCGTTTCCCCCGTCACGAGATCAGAGAATCATGATATTTCACGAGACACGTGCACTATATATTTATTATATACTTTTCGTGTAGTTGTCTGCCAGAAAAGTAAATTATTTCACAACAAATGTAAAACCTTGGAACCATAATTCTCCCTACCTAACCCGCAAGGACGTTTCACCACCCCTTGTCATTGGAACTTAAAAAAGTAGTTCCAAGTTTGCAAAAGTTTGTAAGACAATAGTTCCGTCAAAGTGTTATGTTCACTGCAGTGATGGCGGTCAGGTAGCCTAGTGGTTAAAGCGTTCGCTCGTCACGCCGAATACCCGGGTTCGATTCCCGACATGGTTACAATGTGTGAAGCCAATTTCTGGTGTCCCCCGCCGTGATATTGCTGGAATATTGCTAAAAGCGGCGTAAACCCATACTCACTCACTCACTGCATTGAAATATCAAGTGTCATGCTCACTACAATGAAAACTTCAGAAAACCAAGTATTTCACACTTAAGTATATTAGTTTAAGGCACAGTTTAGTTCATAGTTCTGGTAGCTCTGGGATGTAGCTCACCTGCATACGACTGTAACTTTGTATTGGCTGTGCACAGCATGATCTGTTCGTCATCAAACACAACCTCGCTGTCGTCATACTTGGAACGACGCTGCACCTGGAGACGTGGCAGTATACACATGTAATTGGGGGCAGCTGTACGTCATTATTAATATCATATTCGTAATCATATCTTGTCAATATTTCAGTTGTGTCCATCAATTAATAACAGATATACTTGTCTATCTCACCAGCACGAATGTGCCACTCAATAAAACCTCAATTAAGGAGACATTCGGCTGATTGTAGTCATATGCCGTTGTATTCGGATCAACAAATTTCAAGATTTACAAATCATGGGCACGATATAAAAAGACGTTTCAGAAGAATTCGGAATACATAATTTGCAAGTAATGCCATGGCATGTGATTGGCGAATCAAGCAATTCTTTTTCTGTTTGTGTTTCCCTAAATCTAATTAAAACACATCAGTGACGTGATTCCATTGTTTAAACGTTCCACTATTTTTCAGGAATGACAGTTGTTTGTCAATTATACATTATCTTGAACCAACATTACAATTAATTTACACTTTGAAAACTATTTTTATAGATATTTTGACAAGTGAATGATGTTAAAATGTGTTTGAAAACGTGTATCGCAAGCGGGGTTCAAACCCGCATCGTTTGATTTGAGTACCTCTAATTGTGGACCACAGCTACGGCGACACATGACGCCCCGGTGTGAAATTAATTATTAAATATTTTCAAATAATTGTATAATCCTTCAAAGCTGAAGAAAACCCATATGCATATAATATTGTGTTACAGCAGGATACCTATAACAATGCAAGTCATCGTATCCCAATTACGTGGATCGAAACTCATGATATCAATCACTGGATTGTCTGGTCGAGACTCGATTATGTACAGACCACAGTCATACTGCTGGAATATTGCTGAGTGCGACGTTAAACAACAAACAAACGAACAAACCTATAACAATGTTCATATTTAAAGCAATTAGATAAAACCTTTGACGAGAAAAACAATCAGGTAAACATATATTCTTGTTCGAGGCTCTGTGTTTCCAATAATACCCCTGAACGTGTATTTACAACGTGCACGCCATTGATAAAATACGAGTTTAGGACCCACGAATTCATGAAGCGCCGTGTGCCATGCATTGTAAAGAATCAGCTCGCGACGGGGCTTGGGGCACGGAGCTTGGTTCAACGCCGCACTCAGCAATGTCCCAGCTATATGACGGCGGTCTGTAAATAGTCGAGTCTGGACCAGGCGACCTAGTGATTGACGTCATGAGCATCTATCTACGCAACTGGGATACGGTGGCGTGCATCAACAAAGTCAGCGAGCCTGACCACCCGATCATGGGTTGCTGAAGACCTATTCTAAATCGGTGAGGTGAGGTGAAATGGGGTTTAACGTCGCGTCCAAGATTATTGCACTTATATAGCGACGTGCATGTACGTGTGTGTGTTTGTGTGGCTGCTTGTACTAGTCCGGACTGATGCCGATTTATTGTGCTAGCACACTGAGATACCATGCCGCAGTTTAACATGAATACCCCACTCAGACACAGTATACTGACTCCGAGCCGACCAGTCCTTGTTTTAGCCCCTTCATGCCGAGCGCCAGACAGGGTAACAACAAGTACCATCTTTTAACGTCTTTTGGTATGACGCGGTCGGGGATCGAACCCCGGACCTTCCGCTCTCCGGGCGGACGCTCTACCACTAGACCACGGAGGCGGTCTATTCTAAATCGAATCAGGGTATTTTGCATTATTGCGCTGAACGATGTCACCGGTTCCTTATCGTTTTCTACACCTTTTTGTGTTCATAATTAAATAAAGTGTCTGTGAAGTTATTATTATTGACATATATCAATATGAATTGACTTCAATATTTATTTTCGTTTATGAAGCCATAAACGTAGAGAAAACGAGGCCACTTAATTTCAGATGAACACAACCGTACTTTAGTTTATACACCTACAGAAGCCAATTAACATCAGTTAAATAGTTTTAATAACAGTATTAAGAGTAAGTGAGTGAGTTGGGTTTAACGCCGCTTTTAACAGTATTCCAGTTATATCACGGCGTGTCAGCTTAATGTGGGAGGAAAGCCCGAAGTGATGCAGGTCTCAGACGTTTACCACTTTTTGTGAAACCCGCGAGCACGGGTATGGTGCTAACAAACCTAGAAACATAATCGGGGCGAACCGGGATTCGAACCCAAACTCATAGGTTTCTGGTGTACCCAAGGGACGCAACTCTGCACAGCGAATCGCGGCGCCTAAGACGACTGGGCCACCCGTGCCCCCCAGTATTAAGAGATAAAAATAGCAAACATATGAATTTTAAACACTCCTTACCTTATATGCTTTTCCCTGTAGGAACCTGAACGGCATGCACATATATCGACAGCAGACATTCCCACCAGTGTCGGAGAAGTCGGGAATTTCGTCACCATTGGTGATGACGATCTTGGCTCCCTTCGCCTCACAGCGCATGTGCAGAGCATTACGGCACCACTGCTCGACAGCCGAGTTAAAGTCGAGCTGTTGAAAAAAATGTTGGAGATATACTAATGTCCTTAAAATTAAATTCAGAATTATGGGTAGATCGACAGAGCACTTTAATTACACGAACTAAGCAATAAAATTATGCTGACGATGTTGCGCGAGAGTGAGTATGGTTTTACGCCGCTTTGTATTCCAGCAATATCACGGCGGGGGACACCAGAATTGGGATTCACCTATTGTTCCTTTGTGGGGAATCGAACCAGGACCTTCGGCGTGACGAGCGAACGCGTTAACCACTAAGCTACCCCTCCGCCCGGGTTTGGTATAAGGTGAGTGAGTAAGTGAGTGAGTATGGTTTTACGCCGCGTTTACCAATATTCCAACAATATCATGGCGGGGGACCCCAGAAATCGGCTTCACACATTGTACCCATGTCGAGAATCGAACCCGGGTCTTCGACGTGACGAGCGAACGCTTAAACCACTAGGCTACCCCTCCGCCCGGTTTGGTAGAAGGGAGGTAGTGAGATTTACCGCCTGGAACATGAGTTTTAGTCATATCGCTGCTTATCACCTCGACGTGGGAAGAAAGGCCAAAGTGATTCTGGTCTGAGGCGTTTACCACGGGTATGGTGCCGACAAACCTAAAATCACAATCTGCGGTTCGAACCCTGGATCAAATATTTTTTGTACATGAGAGCAAGTGCACGATTTTGTCCACTATGATATATCATGATGGGTACGTTGTTAATAAAGGATACCGGTGGGGTCCGGTTAGAATTGCTGCCCAACAACCTGTGCTGGTCGTCAGTGACTAAATGAGTCGGGTGTTCATGCCTGGTGACTTGGTCGATTGCGTGTCATCATACCCCAAAGCGTGGATCGTTGCTCATAATATCAATCACTGGATTGTCTGGTCCAGGATAGATTATTTACAGTCACAGACATAGATGTTTGTTTGTTTGTTGTTTAACGCCGCACTCAGCAATATTCCAGCTATATGACGGCGGTCTGTAAGTAATCCATTGATTGACATCATGAGCATCGATCGACACAATTGGGACACGATGACATGCATCAACCAAGTCCGCGAGCCTGACCACCCGATCCCGTTAGTCGCCTGTTGCGACAAGCATAGTCGCCTTTTCGCCGACATATAGATGTAGTATTGTTGAATATGGCATTAAACAACACGCAAACAAACAAACAAACAAAGGATGAAGCTGTACGTACAATAAGACAGAACTGCCTCTGTCTGAGGAAGGACTCCGTGGCTGCATCCATCGCCTCGTTGATCTTGTCTCTGATGGAGCTGAAACTCGGGTCCACGGCGAGTAGACAGCACGCTGCAGAAATTGAAGTGGTTCAGCGTTAGCAGAAATTTAATTTAAAAAATCTAAATCAGAAATTGAAATGTTTCTTTTGTATTGTCCCCCCCCGGTGTATACACGCAAGTACTAGCAGACCCGGAAGGGGCCCGTGGTGCATCATTCAGGCCATCGGGCCTGACCCCCCATCCAGTTTTTTGTTTGTTTGTTTTTTTGTTGTTACGCCGCACAGATCCCGTTAGTCGCCTCTTACGACTAAAAAAGTGGCCTTTTACGGAAAGCATAAGTTGCTGAAGACCTATTCTAGCCCGGATCTTCACGGGTCCCCCGATCCAGTAAGTCGCCTCTTACAACCTGCATAGGTCGAGAGGAAGGTCCGGGGTTCGATCCCCGGCCGCATCATACCAACGTTAACAGATGGTACTTGTTGTTACTCCTCCTTGTCCTCGACGTTGAGCGGCTAAAACAACATCAATCAGTATACATCGTCTGAGTGAAGAATGCATGTTAACCTGCGACATATTATCTCAGTGGGCTAGCACTATAAAACAAGTACAACCAGCCATCCAGCCACATGCACGCACGCACGCACGCACACACGCACGCACACACGCACGCACGCACGCACGCACGCACGCACCATTGCATGCGTGCACGTCGTAATATAAGTGCACTAATCTTGCAGGCGACGTTTTACCCCATTTCACCTCACCTCACCTCACCATTAGTCAACATTCGAATCAAAGCTATGTTCATTTTAGTGACATTATCCTCCAACGTGTCACTTAAAACTACAATTAACTAATCTGTGGAATTAATTAAACACTGACGAAAGAAAAGCTTGCATGTCATTGTATATGATATATAATATTCCAGAATATTCCTCATATCGTTATGTCAGCTTGACATATCAAAAGGAAATAAACGCTGAACTGGGTGTTAAACAGCGCGACATTATTTGAAATCGCTCAGGCAATTAATAACTGCTTATCTCAGTGGCAACATGCTGCGCATATAGTTTATAAATCCAGAAAAAGACCCGCAGTGAGTTTTACTGTTTATTAGAAATGCTTCATTTGCCAGGCAGCGCCAAGAGGTCTACCAGTACTTATCTTAAGACCGTTCTAAGACGGAATCAGGCCACTAGCAGGGGACTACAGGAACAAGCCGACAAAACACGACTTACTGTTTGACTCGGCTGAAGTCATCGGGTCTTAGAAGGGATTAAGCATAGTAGTTAATGGTCTAATCTATGACTCAAGATTTACATTGTTAAAAGAAATTCTATATGGCTGTGTTATAGTATTAAGTGTTACCTATTTTTATAACAAGTGAAAATAATGACTTCTTCTTAAAAAATAAGTCCTTTCAGAATGAGTGGGTTTATGCTTACCCTTTTCGCGAACACCTGGTGTCATCACTCATGTTCAGTGATCCGTTATAATTTACCGCTATTCTGTCTTTTCGCCCAATGGATTTTGTTTCGTCGGATAATCGAGACTGGTTATTTTCTGGCGTTGACGTTTGATATTATATTCTACATCACATCGGCAATATGTCGCCCACAAAGGGAAAGGATAAAGTTCCTCTGGTGTGTACATTCCAGAAGAGTTGCATTTAGTAAGCAAATGTTCTTTCAGCCAGTCAAAACATCGCCATTTTACATTTGGAATTGTATTTATTTGTATATTGTATAATATTCGACATTCGTTCGTCATTTAAAATCAGCATATAATGTCAATCACGTGGCGATATCGATTGAAAATTTCTCCAAACAACCTTTATAGTTCGTGCGAGGCGACTTAACAGATAGGGTGGTCAGGCTTGGTAACTTGATTCATTGCGTGTCAACGTACGTGGATCGTTGCTCACAATATCAATCACTGGTTTGTCGTGTTTTTCTCGATTATTTACAGGCCGCAGTCATGTAGAGTGCCGCGTTGAACAAAAAAAAACAAACCCAAAAAACATAATTTCGATATTGTTCAAGGTATGTGGATCATATAGTCAACTTAAGATCGAAACGAACGCATATATAACTAATATTTAACAGAAACCGTGCCCCCTGGACTATTTAAAACACAAGTGACTGCGTTATTACTGGAGAGAGGCCTGTTATCAAAGAGGTGAATGAAACGTACACATAGCTATCAATCATCCCTTGCAGGAAATACTTGTATTGTGTATTCAGCTGTTCTACTGATAGACATGCCAGCTCGTGTTTATTGTTTATTTTTTGCGTGATTATTTTTACGATATCAATGACGGTTCATCTTCGTCCCTTAAAAATATACATAGTTTTTACACCACGGAACAGCTGATTACATAACACAGATGTTTCTTGAAACCGTATATTGCCGACCCAAATGTTTGGTAGCTTCATTCATAGCGACCCATAACACGTTTGTAACATCAATATTTCAATACTGTTAGAGGGAATTCGGCGGGCTAGGCTCTGTGGATGGGTAACGGTGTGTGGTTACAAAACAGCCTTGTGCTACGACTGTCGTAAGCGTTAAGGTGTGGAAGTTACGACCACCCCAGTGTTTTGATCGCTTTGTACAATGGCACCCTGAGCCCCGTTTCATATAGCTGTATCAGAACTAAGTCTGTGTTAAAGTATAGGAGGTACGGCAGTCGTAGCGCTAAGATCGTTGTGTGGAACGAAGCAAAGTCATCTTAGGACTACGACGGACGTAAGTCTGTGTTAAAGTATAGGAGGTACGATAGTCGTAGCGCTAAGATCGTTGTGTGGAACGAAGCAAGGTTCCGTTTCATAAGGGAATCTTAGGACTACGACGGACGTAGGTCTGTGTTAAAGCATAGGAGGTACGATAGTCGTAGCGCTAAGATCCATGTGTGGAACGAAGCCAGGGTGTCTTACTAAACAACCTTAGCGCTACGATGATCGTTAGTCTGTGTTAAAGTAGTTACGATCACCTTAGCCCTTAGATCTCTTTGTACAACGGCACCCGGGTCCTGTTTCATATGGCGATCATAGAACTGCGGCGGACGTAAGTCAGGGTTAAAGTATAGGAGGTTTTACAGTGGTATCCCCGAGTCTCCTAGGGAGAAACGAGATCTCTGCAACTATCGCAACGTTCTTACTGTAACGGGCGTTGGGTAGACAAATGGTCAAAGCGGTCACTCGACTCGCCGAAAGCTCACATTTGATTCTGGAAATGGGTATAAATGGTGAAGTGATACGCAAGAATGTATTCACAATGTATTTGTGTTGTGCAAAGCTAACGGAGTTTACCCTTGCCAATTCTGTAACGGTAGCTCACCTGATTCGCCGATACGCTGTTGCTTCCTGTTGAGTAAAGTCACCACCAGCACTGATATCCGCTCCGTCAGCCATCTCCGGACTGTCCTCATCTCTTGGTACTCCTCCACGTACACAGTCCTGAAACATACACCACCCTGCAACATGTACCATTCTGAAACACACACCGCCCTGAAACATACACCACCCTGAAACATAACACCGCCCTGAAACATGTACCGTCCTGAAATATACACGGCCCTGAAACATGTACCGCCCTGAAATACACACCGCCCTGAAACATGTCCCATCCTGAAATATGTACCGCCCTGAAACATACATATCTCTGAAACACGAACCGTCCCTTAACCTACACCCTGAAATGCTTTGTGTCCTGAAATATACACCGCCCACAAACGCGTACTGTCCTGAAAGTTGTACCGCAATGGGGGAAACATGTGGGAATAGTGATGGATAGAGTTTGGGAAATATCGGTGGATTGTGCGGAGAAAAACTATGAACAATCGCGTTAATCATGAAAACTGGTGTGACAAACTATCGAGGGATAGTTACTAGGAATATCTGTGGATAGAGGAAAAAAAAGGAAAGGAGATGGACGTTGTGGGCAAGAAACAATGATGGAGATGTGGATAAATATATTTGGGTATTCAGAGTAAATAGCGTTGAAATATCGATGGACATAATGACATAAAACATTAGTGGCGTGTGGGAAAACATATTACAGTTAACCATTTGCGCACGAAACAATCAGTACTTGTTTCGTGTGCACATATATATATATATATATATACACACACATAATAAGTACTAATTGTTTCGTGTGCATATTTATATACACACATGATAGGTACTAATTGTTTCGTGTGCAAATGGATAACTGTAACATTAGTACAGGAACAGATTAATTGCTTAACTGCCCTTGCGGCTACCACTCAATCATGGAATCATGGAATCATGGTTTATGTTTGTTTGTTGTTAAACGCCGCACTCACAAATATTCAAGCTATATGACGGCGGTCTGTAAATAATCTATTCTGGTCCAGAGAATCCAGTGATTGACATCATGAGCATCGATCCACGCAGATGGGATACGATGACATGCATACGATGGAACGATGGAACAACATATCTAATTAAGCCGCTTCGCGTTGATATCATGCAATATATTGCGCACCTTTAACAGTTGATTATCTAATAATACGCGTTACTTACCATGCCTTCCCGCTTTGGGACAGAGAACCAATATTTGAGTGCATCATCCGGGCATCGTGGAAGAAAACATTCACATTGGACGGGTCATGGCTAATATAGCCGCTTTTTTCCAACTCAAAATGTCCATTCAACATATCTGGTGTCTCCAGAAACTCGTCCCACGTAATAATCCGGAGTCCATTTGCTGGAGCATGATACGTCGGCCATTTCTGTTTCGGAGTACGGACAGTCTCGGAACCCTCCCTTGCTGTTTCCGGTTCCCGGAAGCTCTGTACCTGAGTTGTCTCCCATGTCTCGTCGTCGGACCTCGTTACAGAGTCCAAGCGTTGAAGATAGCTGTCGACCATCATCGGCGCCGGTTGACTCAGATCCTGAATCATGTCGCTGCACTCCACAGATGCCCTGTCCGGTTCTTGCTGACCTCTACCGGACCGTGACGACATAGGGACGGCCTCAGATCGCGACGACAGCGGCCAGAAATCGGAACGTGGGGTTTTGCCTTCTTTTCCGTCCATAACTGATCAGTACATAATCCTTCCCTGACTAATACTTCAGTCACACCTGACTGCACACCTGTCGTCTGCTCTTACACTGGGTGTCTACAAACTCGTCAGTAATGCGATTTTGGGTATCGCTAATGAAACGCTACGCATGATCGGCTACCCTTTGAAACACCGCCACAGGTAGATTTATAGCAAGGCGTATTACTTGTCCAAAATAAACCAACAATCGACCCATTGGCGTATTATTCAGGGTCGAGTCTTCAATAGTCTATAAACCCAGGTTTGAAGAAGACTAGGGTAATTGTCCCAAATAAAATACAGTCAATATTTAACAAGTACTGTCAAGGAACTACCCGTCCGTTTAAACTATCAAAACAAACACATGTTGATAGTTATTTCTGCTGTCTCAGTTCAGAAGGTTGTCGTTGAAACAATCGTGTTTATGTGGTCAGTTTAAGATAAGAAATAATTACTGACCAAGACATCAAAGAAGGTTGGCCACGTCGGATACTACGATCCCCGAGGGACTGTGACACAAGCTCAGCACATCAACACAAACACACGGTCGGTAGGTTTACCATAGGCGCACATACATGCCGATATTATAACGTTACCTTATGACGCCACAAAGCGGAACAATTTTAGTCTGTCCCAAAGAAACAGATCAAAGAAGTAATTATACCTATATGGACCAGGCAAGTATTTCTTCGCCTCGTCAGTTGTGAATTGGTGTCGTTAATTCCTGACTCTGCTTCTTAATTCCAGAAACATTCCAACAGGGCCCTATAGGTTGTGTGAAGGGGTATTAAACTGTACCACGAATATCTCACGTGTCACATCGTGCTATTGTTTCAACAGAATACACAGTTGCTGAATTAATTCCCGGACTTTGCAAGACAAATTCTGCTTAACTTCATAGGCAGGACATAAAAGTCCAATGAATAATCCAAAACTGTTCTCAATTCCAGAATCCGTGTGTCCTGAAACAGTGTTCACATGTGCTCGTCAACTGTTTCACTACAGCTGTCGGTCAGAGTGTCCATGTTGTCTGTGCCACGACCCGCATAGTAACTGACCGCCTCCACCCACATCCTGGTAGAGACCAGAGTCTCTTGAGCGGATTAGTGAAATCACCGTTCTCTAATCAAGTAGCCAGGATGATCGGATATTAGAATCCTTTGTTTATAACAATACAAATCTGCTTGCATACTTACTGGGGACAGGATTACCCACGTAGGTCAGGTTTGTGTCTGAACAAGTCTGAATTATACACTCACAGGTGCTGTAATGAAGTGTATTAGCAAAAACAATACATATGATCCGACTAATTATTATATTGTTGTTACTCTGTGCTGAACTATAATGTCTACGTGTAAGCGACTTGACATGTACCGACAACATGGATTGTATAAGCCACACGAAATTATCTGTATGCGTGAAACGCCAACTCATGTTTTTTTCTAAATAGCATTTCCTTCTTGTGCTTTTATGGGTACTTAATGTCAACTAGTAAGCGGGCTAATGCATGATTACATACACTCGGGAACAATGCATGTAACATGTATGCATTGAGCAGGAGATTTGTTGCTCTGTGATCTTAAAGGTATTAAAATGCACAGCGCATTACCCTCTTTTGTACCAGTGTGTGTTTGTTGTTTAACGCCGCACTCAGAAATACTGCAGCTATATGACGACGGTCTGTAAATAATCGAGTCTGGACCAGACAATCCATTGATTGATGTCATGAGCATCAATCCACGCAATTGGGATACGAGGACATGCATCAACCAAGTCAGCAAGATTGGCTACCTGATCCCGTAAATGGCCTCTTAGGACAAGCATGGGTTGCTGAAGCCCTTTTCTACTTCAAGGATCTTCACGGGGCTTTAGAACTATTGAGTGGTTTGGGGTTAACGCCGCTTTGAACAGTATCTTATTTATATCACGGCGTGTCAGCTTAATGTGGGAGGCAAGCTCTAAGTGATGCAGGTCTCAGACGTTTACCACTTTGGTGACTCGCGAGCACGGGTATTGCGCTGACAATCCTTGAGACATAATCATGGCGAAACGGGATTCGACCGCATGATCATAGGATTCTGGTACGCCTAAGGGACGCAACTATGTGCAGCGAATTGTGGCGCCTTAGACGACAAGGCCTTCCGTTCGCACTTTAGAACGAAATTTGTGACGTACACATTATTAATTTCTATTTTCTTATCGTTTCCCCAAAGAGTTATAAGTCAGTACGTCGAATACGGGCTCGGTTATAGTTCTGACAAACCAGGACTCGAGGTCAAGGCAAACCTGGGATTCAAACCAATGATCATTTGATCCCGATTCAAATGGACGCAACTCTGCACAACGAATTGCGGCGGCTTAGAAGACTGGGCCATCTACGTCCCCACGACCTGGTGAATACATGTTTGTGTTGTACAGTGAAACCCGTTTAGTCCGGAATCTCTTTTGTAGGTGTACTTTTGGGATCAAATTTCCATTACCGCATACCCATACTTCGTTTACCCGGATAATATTTACCCATACGATATTGACCCGGATAATATTTACCCATACGATATTGACCCGGATAATAATTACCCATATGATATTGACCTGGATAATTATTACTTATATGATATTGACCCGGATAATAATTACTCATATGATATTGACCCGGATAATAATTACTCATATGATATTGACCCGGATAATAATTACTCATATGATATTGACCCGGATAATAATTACTCATATGATATTGACCTGGATAATATTTACCCATATGATATTGACTCGGATAATATTTACCCATATGATATTGACCCGTATAATAATTACTCATATGAAATTGACCCGGATGATATTTACCCATATGTTATTGACACGGATAATACTTACCCGGGCGATTTCCCTATTAACAACTCCCAAAAGATCCGGGTAAGAATTGGTCTTCAGCAACCCATGCTTGTCGTAAGAGGCGACTAACGGGATCGTGTGGTCAGACTTGCTGACCTGGTCGATGCATGTCATCGTATCCCAAATGAGTAGATCGATGCTCAGCAGATTGACACTAAATCGATTATTGACAGACCGCCGCCATATCGTCTATAATCGCTGAGTGCGGCGTTGAACAAAATACATAGAGAATATTGGATTAATTTGACACGAGGTTGGTCGAAAGTTAGATGGCGGATAAAAAAACACTATTCCGTAAGTTTTGAGGCAAAGAACCACCCTCCCACCATGACGCTTAAATGTGAAAATGTTGACATGCTCAAATGGAGATTCTACTGCAGAAAGTAAAGGAAACCAAAGCACGTGGAAAGTGGTGCTACACCAACACCCCGAAGACGTTTTCTTAATTCTCACGATCTTTCTAGTATTTAACTTGTTTTACGTACGAAAGTGATGCTGTTCATTTAAGAGTAAATATATGATGATTAGACTAATTTACTGTCCTGAACATTACAAACATGGAACATTAAAGGAATAAAGATATTTAACCGATATCGAACCTTGCCGCTCTTCAGTAGTTAAAGTCGACTGGCACTCTACAAAGAAAATCAGTTATATATTTTTTAAACTTTCCTAGTTTGGTTTAGCTGAAGATGCATTGACAATTTCACATCACAAATATTTCTACACGAGAGGGTTGTTTGCGGTATGCTTCGATAACATTTCCTTATTTTGCAACCACCTATTGTTTAGAATAGGTAAAGCAGTCAATACCACACAGCTACCATTAACGTGGCGTGTACATAGAGCTCCCGCTGCTGGTCGACTTGATTTAAAGAGATCGCGTTGTCGTGAAAAACTAGTGTCTTAAGTCACTCAGTAAGGTTAGGAAGAACGCCTGTTTGGTTTATCAGTGACATGGCCGTGTTCTAGGTTACGCTGACGTTTCGTGAAACCCATCAGCTCCGGTGTGCTTCTAAAAAGTTAAGAATTATCCTTAGGGCGAATCTGGGATTCGAACCTTCTTTCAAGAGATCCTGACATATAAGGGGCGTAACTCTGAACAACGCTTCATAACACTTGCGACCATACCATGTTCTTTATACACCGAAGGCACGCCATGAGTATAACATATCAAAAGATCTTTATTGACATTCTGCAACAGACAAAGCACAAACAGCACCCATCCCACCTCTAGACCGGCAGATTTCAAGCATATTGTTTTGTTCCTTGATAAAGATACATACAGTACAAGGCAGGGTCGGGTACCTGCAATTGTTTTCACTTGGTGGGTGATCACGTCCGTGTATACAGTGCGTGTACGTCCTATTGTGTTACTTACAACCGCGGGTAACTGCATATTCCAGAAATGATTGTGCATGACTGATATAAATATACTCCGGGGAATGACAAACACATCTCAACATTTGATTCTGACATGTGTTAAATTTGTATGCGCATTATTTCAAATGTACTGACAGCTTATTTCCCTAATTTTTTCACTATTTCCTTATTCGTTTCCATCAACATAGGGGGCGGTCGGGTAGCCTAGTGGTTAAAGCGTTCGCTTGTCACGCCGAAGACCCGGGTTCGATTCCCGACATGGGCACAATGTGTGAAGCCCATCTCTGGTGTCCCCCGCCGTGATATTGCTGGAATATTGCTAAAAGCGGCGTAAAACCATACTCACTCACTGCTTCCATCAACATATATTAAGGCTGGCTTACATGGTAAGGAAAATGTGTGTTTTCTATGATAATGTGTTCTATCTAAACATAAATCAGGGTTAGTACAAAATTGGCTGCCTTAATTGGTTTTTTAATGTTTAATTAGTGTAATCATTTTCATAATGAATTTATAGGAGGGACAGAGGTCATGCAATCTCGTCGTTATATACCAAGTTTGATTGAGATCGTTGACAAACCATGTTGTTTGTCTGTAGCCAAATGTAAAGATGTCCATCTGCCATGATGTCCCTAATTACACAGACACAACGTGTCAATTCCACACATGGCATTATACTCACAACCTAAACTAAAATATACTTCCCTTTAATATGACATGCATATCGTATAGGATAATTGTCCCTGACATAGATTCCAACGATGGCCGCATATTTAATTCAAACGTCATTTGTTCTTATGTGTTTTTTTATGTGAACATTTGACTTGCCTTTGCATGTGTTTGTGACGCCACCTTTTCGCGAACACCTGGTATCATCACCATTTGATAGTGATTCATAAACAAGCGCTCATGATATAGTTGGAATCGTCCTATCGACTTTTAGCAGAGAAGGGTTTAATCGCTTTCATTGTAAACGTATTTTCGTCCAGAAAAAAGAAAGAAACTGCGAACATTAATACACCCGAGATAAAAGAACTAATGACGACTGAACTAAATTGTATGAAGATACCACCCTAAAGTCCTCGTGTCAATGAATTCCAAGAAGTCAAGCACAAATAAAGTTCATGAGGAAGGGGGTTCTAGATCCCTGTTCTCCCTTTTATTCAGCATGCAAGTTGACACTGTGAGACCCCACCTCACCGGTTAGATACATTACAATAGGAGGCGCATTAAGTTCAAACATAAGTGTAGTAATGGTTCTAGGTTTCTTTATTGAGGATGTTACCCCCCCACACACACACTAACACACACACACACACCCCACGGACACCTCGATCCCCCCCTCACACCACCACCACCCCTCCCCACCCCCATAAACCCACATACACCCACCCACCCAACACACACCCTGAATCCCGAATACCATCCTTTGTTTCACTCTGGAGGTCATTGTCCACCCCTATGACCCGAATACTACTTAACACAAAAGCATTGAGACAAGGTTAACGATAAAATGTTAAAGGGCATTTTACGTACACCATTACTTTTAAAACAAATGTGTAATCTGCGTACCAAATACAATTTTATTTGCGTGTGGCGTACCACACTGCTGAGTCCCGAATACCCTCCAAATAGACCCCTGAAACAAAAGGGACTTTGGCAGGCTTTTTAGTGTGTGTACCTAAACACAACATCGTAATGAACGCTATATATATTAGGAAAGGTTTAACTCAGTTGTTGTACCATATCATAGATGTATGACTCACTGACCATGTGACTTCTCGCGTTTTGTAAAGTCCTATTGTTTTTTTCTTTACACTGTATGTAAAGCACACGTCAAACCGGCTCCTATGTTAACAGCTGTCTGCATGCTCTGACGAGACACTCATTCAATGCCATCACACATGCGTGGAGACACCGTTTATAGCTTACCATGGGACGTAACGTAGGGCGTTATGTTACAAAGTGACAACCCAGGAAGATATCTCCGTGCATTGTTCACATAAAGAGGCGGATATTACCCAAACGTTGTAGAAACTCCATCGTCATCTGATGAATCGATGCTAAAAACAGACACTTGGAAAATCCATTGAAACCGATATAGAACCGAAGACATCGTCCGCAAGTAGGTACATGTGATCATTATGATTAACACAGGCATATTACTGGAGAAATATGTATTTGTGGTATTGTGTGTTCGGAGCTGATGACACTGTGGCACCGTGGTGTGGTAGCGATATCAGTGAAGATTATTATGTGCGAAAGGGGACAATATGGCGGAGGTCATGGTTGAATTCCTTTTCACAACGCTTGTAAAGAGCGGGCATGGTGGAGTGATGGTGACGAACCCAGGCGTCTTGTGTGACGTCACCCAGCCTGATGTGAGGACTGTGGGGAGGGAATCAGACGGATAGTTCCTTGAAGTACACTGGGAGACAATTGGACAGGTAACCATGATTCAATATATTCCACAAGGTAGATAGACAATGTAGGGGATGCAACTCTGATAAACTGTCTGATGTGTCATTCATAGGGATTCTTCTACTACGACTGCTACTACTGCTACTACCACTACTCCCACTACTTTCACTACTACTACTACTACTACTACTTCTAATACTACCACTACTACTACTACTACTACTACTACTACCACTACAACAACTACTACTACTACTACCAATACCCCTACTACTACTATTACTACTACTACTACTACTACTACTACTACCACTACTACTACCTCTACTACTACTACCATTTCTACTACTACTGCTACTACCACTACTACTACTACTACTACCCCTTCTACTACCTCTACTACTACTACTACTACCATTTCTACTACTACTGCTACTACTACCACTACTACCTCTACTTCTACAACTACCAGCATTTCTACTACTACTACTACCACTACTACCTCTACTATAGACTAACATTTAGTCTCTGAAATCTTATATTAGACAATATCCTTCTTGACTCTAAAAATAAAAATAAAATTCCCTATGCTGATTTCAGGTGCAGGACTACCTCTACTACTACCACCACCATTTCTACTACTACTACTACTACTACTACCACTACTACCTCTACTACTACTACTACCACCATTTCTACTACTACTACTACCACTACTACTACAATTACCACACCACCACTACTATTACTACCACTACCACTACTACTACTACCTCTACTACTACTACTACTACTACTACTACTACTACTACTACTACTACTACTTCATTTCTACTACTACTGACCCCATTGTGTGAAGCCCATTTCTGGTGTCCCCCGCCGTGATATTGCTGGAATATTGCTAAAAGCGGCGTACAACCATACTCACTCACTCACTACTGACCTGTGAAGATTCCGGGGTAGAATAGGTCTACAGCAACCCATGCTTGCCGTAAAAGGTGACTATGCTTGTCGTGAAAGGCGACTAATGGGATCGGGTGGTCAGGCTCGCTGACTTGGTTGATGCATGTCATCGATCCCAATTGCGTGGATCGAAGCTCATGATATCAATCACTGGATTGTCTGGTGCAGACTCGATTATTTACAGACCGCCGTCATATAACTGGAATATTGCTGAGTGCGGCGTTAAACAACAAACCAACCAACCAACCAATCTACTACTACTACTACTACTACCACTACTACCACTACTACCACTACTACCTCTATTACTACTACTACTACTACTACTACTACAACTACTACCACTACTACCATTACTACCTCTACTACTACTACTACTACTACTACTACTACTACTACTACTGCCATTTCTACTTCTACCACAAGTACTACTACCACTACTTCTACAACTATTACAACTATTACCACTACTACCACGACGACTTACGGGATCGGATGGTCAGGCTCTCTAACTCGGTTGATGCATGCCATCGTATCCCAGTTGCGTGGACTCGGTTATTTACAAACCGCCGTCATATAGCTTGAATATTGCTGAGTTCGGCGCTAAACAACAACAAACAAACAACCACTACTACCACAACTACCACTACCAATTTGACTTTTCCATATTCCTTAAGAAACAGTACCTCTCATAACATACAAGTGTGTGGGCGTTTTGTACTGAGCAGGTAGGGAAAAACAACTTGTTTACGTGGAAACAAGAGTGCCTTTTCGGAACATATCCCAAGACTGTTTAACGGGAAGATATCCAACGTCCACCTTTTTATAGTATATACGGGGGTCTTGTGATACCGGGTACAGGGAATGTGCAAAATCATATATCTTTTCCTAAATACAGTAATATGTGATAAATATTCCATGTGTTAGCATTTATAGTCAATTACAAGTTCGACATTGTTTTTAAGGGCAGAAGAGTACCATGCTGATTCAAAAGCTGTCGGAATAAGCTGGTTTGTCACTTTACCATTTGAAGTCGGAGGACGATTACACAAGCATGGACGACAAAGAGAGACAAGCTCTTCAAGAACTCCACTTGAAGTTTATGGAGGATCTTGATCCCTGGGAAATAATGATAGACTTCTTGTTTGATAGGAAGTGTTTCAATACCACGCATGTCAATAGGCTCGAAAGCATTCAAGATAAAAGAACTTGCCGACATTATTTTCTGGAGTTAGTTCCCAAGAAGTGTTCATTTTCAACATTTATAGACGGTCTTATGTACAATGGCTATCATGCACATTTAGCTGAACTGCTTCAACAGAAGGTTCATGACATACAGAACAGAACAGAGTCCCATGCTGATCCCATGTCGAGCGACGATGATGAAGACGACGCCATGTTCCTTGTCGCTAGTCGACCCAATGCGCGCGGACGTAAGAGAAGACAGCTAGATAATGTGACCAATGGGAAGAGGTTACGCAATGAGTCGCCAAGTTATGCAAATGAGGTCGACGATAAGGAAACAGGGGCGGTTAAAACAGTTCTCACAGAAAAAGCCCCCAAAAGGGAACTGGAAGGAGGAGGTATGATACAAGCTAGCCCCGAAAGTCTATCGGATAAATGTGTACTCTGTCCACTGTGCCAACAGCCAAATCGTATTAATATTGTTAACAATGAAAAGAAGAGAATAGTTCGAATCCAGCATCATCTGAAAGTGTTGTCCCACGATGGGGAAGTTGGGAAGTTTGAACGGTTCATCAAAGCGATGTCCAAGCGACATAAAAAGAATCCCGACATCAAATTTGCCCTTCTGGATGCAATAGTCGGCCGGAAAAAGGTTTCAAACAGTATAGTTCCCGATGAAGACGTGTTCCTTAAAATGGAAAAGACAATTCCATACACATCAAACCCTATAGCTACAAGCATGGTTTATCTATCAAGAAAGGGGTCGGCTATCGCAACAAAAAAGCCAATTGAAGAAGGGTTAAAAGAGCTAAATGTAGCAAAGTCCCATTCCGAGTTTATCCAGCCATGCAAGGACACTGGAATGGTGTTATACATTGAGGTAAACCTTCTCATGCAGCTCTTTGAAAAGAATCCAAACCCGGATCTTAAAATGAAAATTATCAAAAGACTCGATGAGGCCATCAATGTCCACTTCGCAGAGGAAGTCCCGGAGGACTACACAAGGATGCTTTATCTCAAAATGGTTTTCTGTTACCTCGGAATCCGCGTGGATGCAGGAACAATAGCTAACTACACACCAAGCGTGGATGATGTTCAGAATGCCGAATCTTGCCTCACTCTTATAGACAGACTCCCAGCTTTGTTGGACAAAAGAAGGCGAATGTTTTACCACGTGGCTAGATCTGTGTTGTTCAAGTATAGGGGCGTCCTTGATCTTGCACTGGACCACGTGAACGCTGCAGTGGACAAGGCGAAGGAGGGTCAGTTTCAGAAGGAACACTTGTCTATCAAAGACCTTGCTGACAATGTCAGAGAGATTATTCGGGATTGTGACGTTAAGCAGGATGAACGAGGTGAAGCTTTGTTGCGGGAGCTGGACGAGGACCTTCTTCAGGACAAGGGCGTGTGTGAGATGTCTTCAGATGATGACGACATATGATTCTATCTCCCCGAGAGAGAGCATGGTTAGATATGTTGAAACGCGGTAAGGCCCCTGTGTAGAGACTCTGAAAGAAATATGCATTGGAAACCTGTGACCGGAGAAATTATTTCTAAGGCAGGTTGTGTTATTTCGAAAGAACACCATTTATATATTTGTGTAGGTTATATACATGTGTTATTTGTTTTGTTTGTTTGTTTTGATATCCCAATTGCGTGAATCAATGCTCATGATGTCAATCACTGGATTGTCTGATACAGATTCGATTATTTACAGACCGCCGTCATATAGCTGGAATATTGCTGAGTGCGGCGTTAAACAACAAACAAACAAACAAACAGAACTGAAGACTCGGATGATGTAACCTTGACAAACAGCTTCTGGGCAAGAGTCGTAAGACGCTCTTTGGGATCTTGCCAGAAAGATCGTGCTCGATTCTCCCTCAAAAGTTGTGAAATGTTTACACCAAGTGCTAGAGCTGCAGGAGTATTGCTCGATAAATACTATAAATAAATAATAAAGGAAAGTTAAAATCGCCCCTCTTGTCATCCAGTCTTGAGGAGAGAGTTTTGTCACTCTAAATCTTTATGCATAGATCCAAATATGAAACCGATCAGGCAGTCTCACTGGTAAATCAGTGGAAGGGAATTGGCTATTGGATGGTGACAGAACGATATGAGATCATCGATATACCTGAAGCTTACGTTAAACTTCTTGGCCAAATTACCCTGAAACTCAGATTCATACGCATTAAGAAACAGATCAGCAAGAGGCGGAGCACAATGGGGTGGCCTACTTCTTGCCTAGACCGCCTCCGTGGTCTAATGGTAGAGCGTCCGCCCGGAGAGCGGAAAGTACGGGGTTCGATCCCCGGCCGCGTCATACCAAAAGACGTTAAAAGATGGTACTTGTTGTTACCCTGTCTGGCGCTCGGCATTAAGGGGCTAAAACAAGGACTGGTCGGCTCGGAGTCAGTATACTGTGTCTGAGTTTGGTATTCATGTTAAACTCCGGCATGGTACCTCAGTGAGCCAGGACTATAAATCGGCATCAGTCCGGACTAGTACAAGCAGCCACACACACACATATACACGTGTATGCACGTCGCTATATAAGTGCAATAATCTTGGACGCGACGTTAAACCCCATTTCACCTAACCTCACCCACTTCTTGCCTTAAGTTCTTACTCCCAAATTTTACATAGATGCCATCAATGAGAATGGCATTTGGTTCCATTATTGACAAACTGACCTAAACACGTTTAGAGCGGAACATGTCAAGCATGTGTTGAATACCTAAACAAATGTTTTGAATGTACTTTAACAAATTTAGTCCAGACAACATTATGTTTTTTTATATACATGTATTACAATAAGTATTCACCAACAACGGACGTCTTGCCATGGCAATGTTATATTTCTGAAACTGAAATTTGTAATGTACTTCCATGTTAAAAGATTAAAATAAAGTGTAATTATTCTTAAAGTTATTTTCTACCCTTTAGTAAACGTAATCGTTGTATTTGTGTACATTGCACTTAAGCGTTGTATTCATCATTGTATTCATCGGCAAAATCATAGCATAAATAAAGGGTGTAGTCTCTTGCATTGATGTTTGATTGACACAAATCCAGCTATATGAAGGCGGTCGGTGAATCATCGAGTCTGAACCAGACAATCCAACGACTGACATCATGAGCATCGATCTACATGAACACAATGGGGATGCGATGGCATGCACAACCAAGTCTGGGACTTTGCAAGGGGACTAGATATTTTTCAGCTACTTCTACAAAACCATATATTTTTTTTATTAAAACTATAAGCCTAAATATATACTTTTTTAAAAACACCGTGCAACAATGGAATTTGTGACAGACATGTTTTCCCTCATTATTTTTCGAAAATTCCACGATAACATCCGATTTTTTCTCACGTTATTGATAATTATTTTGTCAACATTATAGATAATAATTTCACACTTTCACAGAATGTGAATCATTCCTGCTACATGTTTTTACTGAATATTTTGAAATCGTGTTTGGTACTTGTTTAACAGTGACGCTCTATTGACATTCTTCAATTACAAATAACATGGTGGTAAAAGGAACACACTAGGCTCTAATAAGAAACAACAACAAAAACAATCAGAAGCATATTTATGAGCTATTCCTGTTCAATACTGTCTGATACAATATCAATACCATGTATACATCATCACGACGAAATCACGACTTTATAATTAATTTGGGAAGACTTTGCCATTTCAAAGTATTACCATATTGTATAAAATATTGATTAATTAATAATCAATAAATAATAATTAAGTAAGGATAAGATATATGGATGAACAACGTCTTTATTACCGTTAGGAACGGCGTTTCGGTGTAGGTTCTGCCACTGTTATCAAGCAAGTGAACTTGTCAGAACCTACACCGAAACGTCGCTCCTGAAGGTACTAAAGAAGTTTTTCATCCATATATCGTATCCTTACTTAGTACCACAACTTCTAAATGCCTCTCAAAGAAATAATAATTAAGAATAAACCGCTATCTCACGATTTTGTGCAAAGGATCAATTTGTTGCGCCCTGGTTTGATACCAAGGCTGCAGCTACAGCTCGATACATAACCACTGTTAGCTGGTACATTCCGCGGTGCATCTCTCACGACGCTGAAACGCTTATTGCCTCCCCGCCATGCGCATCTATCTGAGCAGTGATCGCAAGAAGCAGCGTGTTGTCATTGCGTTAGTCCCTTAACAGTATCAACAACACCACAACGTTATTAATTATATATGTAGCGTACAGGCTTTTGGTTACCATGGAAACGGCATTTTTTGGCATGTCGCTATCAGGGCATGCTGTTACCTTCTTCTGTGACAATGCGCGAAGAATTTCACGGAAATGCGTGAAGTATTGCTTATACTGCATTGAGTCATCCCATGCTTAAAGCAGTTATTATGTTAAAGAATAAACCTTAGTTGACGGATCCTTTAGCACCATGACTAGACACACGTGCATCACGAAATATTTATCAGTAATGGTGAGCGGACTCTATACGGACCCCGGGGGCACGGGTGGCCCAGTCGTCTAAGGCGCCGCGATTCGCACTGCAGAATTGCGTCCCTTGGGCACGCCAGAAACCTATGATTGTGGGTTCGAATCCCGGTTCGCCCCGATTATGTTTCTAGGTTTGTCAGCACCATACCCGTTCATGTGGGTTTCACCGAAGTGGTAAACGTCTGAGACCTGCATCACTTCGGGCTTTCCTCCCACATTAAGCTGACACGCAGTGATATAACTGGAATACTGTTAAAAGCGGCGTTAAACCCAACTCACTCACACTATACAGACCCTGCTCTGTTATTATGTTCCAAATGCACTTCGGTCTGTGGCCAACTCCACCACGACCAAAACCAACAGAGGACAGAGAGCATTCGTTGCAGCTGCTCCAACCGTCTGGAACACTCTCCCATCAGAAACAGCTTTCAAAACAGCTCTAAAATCTCACGTATTCAAAATTGCTTTTTAAACATACCTATACATTTTTTCCTCTTGTCTGTACATCTCCAATGCGTTTTGCTTTCCCTCTTAGTTGTTGTTTGTTTGTTGTTTGTTTAACGCCGCACTCAGCAATATTCCAGCTATATGACGGCGGTCTGTAAATAATCGAGTCTGGACCAGACAATCCAGTGATTGATATCATGAGCATCGATCCACGCGAATGGGGATGCGATGGAATGCATCAACCAGTCAGCGAGCCTTACCACCCGATCCCGTTATTCGCCTCTTACGACAAGCATAGTCTCCTTTTGCGGCAAGCATGGGTTGGTGAAGACCTATTCTACCCCGGAATCTTCACGGGTGTTTACGCCAAATGGTATCTGTTTCTGTGGATAATCGAGAATGTTTTTGCTCTGACGTTGACGTTATATATCTAGAGTATGCGCTGGCATAAAGTCAACGTTTTCATTAGATTACGCACCCCCCAGGTAAGACAATGGGTTCGATGAGGAGAAAAGGGAGAAAGAAAATTCACAGTTCCTAGTGACTTTCCACCTTAAACGTGAAGGCAATGATACTGAACTCTGACGTGTCCGATACAACCGAGAACCTGGCTATGGTTGAAACGAGAAGCGCCAGCACTGTTGTTGTCTAGAGATGGTTCTCTACAGCTTGGTAGGGGTGGGGTGTAGGGGTGTGGGGTTGTGGGTGTAGTCTAGTGGTTAAAGCGTAATACTGTACTCACTCCCTCTAAAGTTTGGTATGCAACACCACACAGACGGTGTTTACCTTGAACTCGTCGATTTGACATCTTTCAAATCTGCGTAATTGTATCTTACCTGAGTTTATAAACGAGATCGTCAGCGGGGTTATTATTATAAGGATATTGTCATTAAAATCAACAAATGCGATGCATTAGTCATCGAAGCGCCACGCCACATAAATAGTGAGTGAGTATGGTTTTACGCCACTTTTAGCAATATTCCAGCAATATCACGGCGGGGGGCCCCAGAAATGGGCTTCACACATTGTACCCATGTCGGGAATCGAACCCGGGTCTACGGCGTGACGCGCAAACGCTCTAACCACTTAGCTACCCGACCGCCCCCCACATAAATAAAAACACCCTGTTTTTCAACGCAGAATAAATTCTCGGACAACACTTAGAAGTGTCCTATTTTAAAACCGGTTTAATTTTTGCAGTTACATTTACTCCATCAGATAGGAAATTTAATATTCTCCATCTATGCGTAATTTTATAGCCAGAGATAGATCCAGTGCCGCGTGAGCGCAATTCTCGCACAACCTTCACTTTTCCGATCTCAGGAAAATGTGCGTCAGAAAAAAGCCTCTGCATCGAGAGGGTTAAGCAGACAACGAACGACGTATGACTGGTGTCGGCTCTCTGAGGTGTTGCGAGGTCCGCCGAAGGCTGGATCCGTGAGAGTGAACCACACCACAGGGTATGAAATGACACTAGTACAGCCAGGTAAAACCGTTCCCACGTCTTGAAGCTTGGGGAATTCCTAAAGATGGGAACCTTGAGGTTCTCTTGCAAGTTGCAATAGGACGTATGTACAAAGCAAACAGTTTCTCTTTCACGTCGAAATGGACGGGGTTGGCTGGTTGTACTTCATTATTAATAACGCTCCTTTGCATTTGAAATGTAAAGTTTTCACTGAACTCTAAAGCTTTAAAATAAGATGGGGAAGCATGTAAAGGTTGGGCGATGATGAGAAACAGGAATAAGGAGAATAAACACGGTAACAAATATCACAGTCAGTACTATATCAAATAAACATAGTAACAAATATCACAGTCAGTACTATATCAAATAAACACGGTAACAAATATCACAGTGAGTACTATATCAAATAAACATGGTAACAAATATCACAGTCAGTACTATATCAAATAAACACGGTAACAAATATCACAGTCAGTACTATATCAAATAAACATGGTAACAAATATCACAGTCAGTACTATATCACATAAACACGGTAACAAATATCGCCGTCAGTACTATATCAAATAAACACGGTAACAAATATCGCCGTCAGTACTATATCAAATAAACACGGTAATAAATATCGCTGTCAGTACTATATCAAATAAACACAGTCACAAAAGTCAGTACTATATCAAATAAACACAGTTACAAAAAAAACAGTCAGCACTCTATTAAATAAACACAGTCAGTAATATATCAAATAAACACAGTAACAAAGAAACAGTCAGTACTATATCAAATAAACACGGTAACAAATATCACCGTCAGTTCTATATCAAATAAACACAGTGACCCCAAAACAGTCAGCACCCTAATATATTCATGCTATAGCAGTTATAGAGGATGAACAACAGG